CAGAGTTTTTCAGGCCCAGCTCTTCTTCTTCTTCTGTCCTCCTCTGGTCCAGTTTCCAGATGTTTTCAGGACTCTGCTCACCAGCTGAGATCTGCCCAGTTTTAATCCTTGCTTTTTACTTTTTTTTTGCTTTAGTATTTGATAATTTTACCTCTATTTTTTCTTTATTTTGGTCAGTTTAGCTCTATTTCTGCTTTTTATTCTAGTATATTTGGTCATGTTAAGCTTTGTTTTTGCTTTTTTGTTGTATTTCTTTGGTCATTTTTTAGGCCCAGCTCTTCTTCTTCTTCTGTCCTCGACTGGTCCAGTTTCCTCAGATATTTTCAGGACTCTGCTTACCAGGCTGAGATCTTTCCAGTTTCCAGCAGCAGCTCTTTGGGAATCCTCAGAACTCCTGTTTCCTGTTTCTGTCTGATGGGTTTTCTGTGGCCTTTTTCCTCCATCAACTCCAGAAATGGAACAGATGATGAGTCTCTGTCACAAAGAGCCTGAAGATCCACTTTAAGCTGTTGCTCTGCTGTAGGACGCAGAGGCTGACTCAGCCCTTGAGTTGTTTCTTGCTTTTCAGCCAACAGCTTGTTCGGAATCAGCTTGTTGCTTCCTTCAAAAACCCTGTTTTCTGTCATTATTGTATGAAACAGCATCAACAAATTGAGGCTTATCTGTTAAAACTAACTTATCTTCCTTCTTTAAGGTCACTCCTGGAGGCCTTTTTGCATTAGATTACTTTAGAATTAACATTCAAATTGATCAAATAATCAATTCTAATGTATTTTATCCTGTCACTGCATCAATCCATTTAAGAAAAAAATCAACACAGTGCCACTGTGTGATTTTCCCAGACCTGCATCTGTCTCTGTTGGCAGAGAAAGACACTCAGCCACACAGGGGGTGAGATGATATCATATTATCTTTAATGTGGGGTGGCAGAAAAAGGAAAGGGTCTGGATTCTCTGAAAGAGAGGGCTGTCAACTGTACAGCTACCTGCCCAGCCACAAGCCTGTAATCTGCCTCCATCAGGTGTCTGAACGCTCCGGTTATAAATACCCGCCATTACGGAGAGGTTGCCAGGGGACACGCACACACACACACACACACACACACACACACACACAAACACACACACACACACACACTCTTCAGCTGGCAATCACAAGTAAATGTTCTCAAAACACAAGTAGTAACTTCTCCTGAAAGCCGATATATGGATCTGGTGGAGTGTAAAAGGCCTTGGTGATGCTTTCAGGGCCCATCTGACAGGACGTGCACGTGCACGTGCACGTGGGAGAGTAGCGGGTTCATCTCCAGCTCAGGGGCAGGTGCCCCCCCCTGGATCGATGGCCCTTGCTTCAGGTTTTAATTAGCTAATCAGGGGAACA